CAGCATGGCTCAGTGGTTGAGCGTCGACCTATGAACCAGGAGGTCACAGTTTGATTCCTGGTCAGGGCACATGTCCAGGTTGCAAGCTTGATCCCAAGTGTGGGGCATGCAGGTTGCAGCCAATCAATGACTCTTTCTCGTCATTGATGTTTCTACTTCTCCCTTCCTCTCCCTTCCTCTATGAAATCAATAAAAAATATACTTAAAAAACAAAACAAAAACCTGAGTTCCAGCCATTCCACTTCTAACTCTGTGGCCTAGAAGAAATTACTTAACATCTGTAAAGTCTCAGTTTTATCTGCTGTGTAATCAAGGTAAGAAGTGTATATGACAGTGTGAGAGTTAAAGGAGATGACGCAAGTGAAGTGATTGGTCCAGCGCCCGGCACATAGCAAATGCTTAATCAATTGTATCCTCCATTGATTTTTCCACCCTTTTCATCTCATGGCACCCATTACATTCTGGGGCACACCAACAAATTTTTTTGTGTGTGTGCCGATTTTACAAAGATAGCTATACTTTCTACTCATTCACTCTAGATGGCTGTTGTTGCGTTGGCAGATCAATATATTGATTTTAGACTGAGTAGCTTGGGGAGTAATTTGTACATGAATCACCAAGGAGCTGGGGTGCTATCAGTCCGCCTTGCAGCGTGAGAACAGACTGTATTTACCTTCACCATCTTTTAGTGTCTGCACTAGCAAGAGGCCTGTGAGAGAAAGCTCCATCCCAGCACATCTGGGTGTCTAATAGCGCAGCAGAATGCGTTATTCATTGGAAGCAGCAGGACGGGGCTATAATCCTGTCTAGAAGTCACATTATCCAGCAGATTTTCCCACCTCTTTGTGTAAACCATTCCTTTTAAAGTATATGTTTCAAACCCAGTATGTTTATAGAGCTGGCATCTCCCTGGCTTGCGTCGGAAAGTTTCCTGTCCTTATTAAGAGCGGGAGCTCTCTAATGGAGGTGTTTGTCACCCCGAGTGGGGTTTGTTTACTATGACTGGGCTCTGCACGGGGCTTATCCATCCAGGTCTCCTTCCTCTCTCCTAATGGTGGATGGCCGAGGCTGCTGCTCCCCTCCCTTCGCTCCTTCTTCTGTTCCCTCCCAAAACATTCCACTTTGTTTTTATGTTTTAACTAATGCGTTCATCCATGTTGGTACTCAGAGCCATTCCTCTCTACAGGCACATGCTCCCTCTTAAAAACGACCTTCTAGGAACTGCCAGGAAGGGTGGCCTGTCCATCAACTCACTCAATTCGTGTGGCATCTGCAGGGCAGTGTCTATGACCCTGCCTGCGGCCAGATTTGGGTTCCTGTGCTTGAATGTCAAGGCTGGACCACTGATTGGCTCCAACACCCTACTCATGGCGTCTGATCACTCCCTGCCTATTTGTCTCAGGACTAAACCATGCATCCCAGTTTCAGGCTCAAGTAAAATAATGCATATGAGTATTTTCACGAACCCTGAGGACTTTATAAATTGTTCTTTCCAAGGCGCTCTACATTTGAAAAGGCTACTGGTCAAAACAAATCCTTTCATCAACCTACTTTTTAAATACTTAGGGAAGTGGTGAGGGGGTGGGGGGCCTCCCTTCTGAGTTTCTATTAACATCATGGGAAGGTTTCAATAAACAGTCTGTTTGCTTATCAAACAAATACCTATTTGGCATCTGCTGGCCGCTGGTTACTGGAACATCTTTGTTCTCTGGGCTCATTCCCCTATGCCGCCTGCTGTGCCCGAGTTCTGTCTCCCCAGGCCTTGCTTTCTGCTCAGCAGCAGGTAAACCGTTGGCACGAAGTGTTTCCTTCTCTGGATTCAGAGAGTTTATCATCTGTGACCACCGATGGGAAACTCAGGCCCTCCAGTTGAGGGATGTATTTTTGCACAGTGGGATCTCACGATTTCCTTCACGTCACACCCGATTATGTCTTTGAAGAAAGCGTTGTGTATTTCTCTTCTGTAATCTCTCTTTTCCAAACGAGTGGAAACCCCTTTATAGCCAATAAAGCGATGGTGTGACTGATGAATTATAAATAGGAAAGTGTTCATTTCTGCCAAGACACTTGAATCCGAATTGTGCAAATCTCCGTCACACTATCTCCTTTTGAAGATAAGACTGGTTTTTATGTGGAGACAATGATGGCTTATCGTGTACATCTCCAGAGTTTGAAAATGTGTGTCTAAAAATAGACAGAAGTGACAAAGACATCCAGGTTCTGATGTCAGGAAACTAACTATGTTTTTAACGCATCAATCTCAAAGTACTGAGGATAAACAAGTATCATGTAAAACTTTGGATATAACCTTTGTAGCCATTTGATAATATCTACTTTTGAAATGTTAGGATAATGCATTTATTAATTCAAAAATATCCTAAGAAAAATAAACAGGACTCGAAATATTGTTACGTTTAAGTGATTGAAAACCAGTTTGACTATCAGTGACCTGGAACACATCCTTCCATGTAGAATTCTTGAACAGGTAGCACTTTCACTTTAAATTCTCTGTTATCCCGTAAAAACATTTCAGAACGCTCTCAGTCAGTGCTAAATGCAAAACAGAAAGTACTTTATCCACTTTGTCATGATAACCTCAATTTTCAGAGAAACTGCTCTTCAGAAATGAGTCTAAACTTGGAGGAACATGATGAATGCATTAGTAATGGGATGTGATAAAACACATTCTGCATGTGACTCACACAGACCCCAAGTCCCACCTCCTCATTTCACAGATGGGGAAACCGAGGCTTCCTGGCACCAAGGGTACAAGGACATCAGGTGGGTGGACAGGCGCCAGTCCAATGGCTCTTTCATAAGTCGACAGAGTTGTTTCACGCCCCTGCCTGGCACCTTGTTTACCCAACATGAGGTGAAGGCCCTCTGTATTTGGGTGGTAAAATCAGCACAGAAGCCAAACAATATTCTGGGCTTTTTCTGCATTGGAATACAAGGGGAGAAATAAGTAGTAAAGCAAGTTGGTCATTCTAATTCTATTATTAGTTGTATTAGTGTTTGGTCAAATTTACTAGTATTTGTTTTTCTTTAAAATATATTTTTATTGATTTCAGAGAGAAGAAGGAAGAGGGAGAGAGATAGAAACATCAATGATGAGACAGAATCATTGAACCAGCTGCCTCCTGCACACCCCTACTGGAGATCAAGTCTGTACCCTAGGCATGTACCCTGACTAGGAATCAAATCGTTTTGCCCTGGTTCATATGTCAAAGCTTAAACACTAAGCCATACCAGCCAGGCTCAACAAAATTTTTCTCTTGCACAGCTAATTCTCTTTCTCAGAAATGAGCCTCCAAGTATTTATTCAGTGTTAGAATAATCCTCTGCTGCAGGAGAAGAATTCCATTTCATTTTTTTTCATGTGCTATCGCATGGGTTTCTAGGTGTTTTATAATAGTCATGCTATTGTGGTCAAATTTGAGACCCAAGAAACACATTTCATGGTAAAACTAAAGATCTTGAATCAGATTTTCCTGCAGTTAATTATTTTGGAAAAATGACTCATTATGTTTTCTAGGTATTTTATTTATTAAAAGCATAAGCTATTGTTCATTTGTATGAAGTATTTGCCCTGTGCTTTGTGCTGAATGTATGGAAACAATCATTCTTTATTCTGGAATCTTTTGACAAATTCCAAGCTGCTATTATAGGACAGATTAAAAAATATTTTAGTGGAATAATAACTTACTTGTCTTTGAAAAAACTCCACATTTATAACTTTTAAATTTATATTTGGATTTATTGATTATCAGGCCCTTGATGAATTCACATTGCGAAGAATAAAATATATGAAATATAGGAACTAAATTTTCTACCCTTACACTAATAAAAGTGTAGAACTACAGGAAGACATTAATACATTTAAAAAAATACATTTTACTGATTTTTTACAGAGAGGAAGAGAGAGGGATAGAGAGTTAGAAACATTGATGAGAGAGAATCATCAATCAGCTGCCTCCTGCACACCCCCTGCTGGGGATGTGCCCGCAACCAAGGTACATGCCCTTGACTGGAATCAAACCTGGGACCCTTCAGTCCACAGACCGACACTCTATCCACTGAGCCAAACCAGTTTCGGCACATTAATACATTTTTAACAGCTTTGAATCATCGGGAATTTTTCACACACAGAAGATATATGCAACATAGAAATTCAGTTAAGAGCATAATAGTAGGAAAATTTTACAGGTAAAACATTTCTCAAGAATCCATCTTTAAAAAATGCTTTTTATTGCTTTTTAGAGAGAAAGGAAGGGACAGGGGCAGAAAAACAGAAACATCAAAGTGAGAGAGAAACATTGATTGGCTGCCTCCTGCACTCACCCTACTGGGGATTGAGCCCACAACCTGGGCATGTGCCCTGACCAGGAATTGAACCAGCAACTTTTTGGTGCACAGGACAATGCCCAACCAACTGAGCCACACCAGCCAGGGAAAGAACCCCTCGTTTTGGTATCACTCATGGCATAACACGATTGTGCTGTGGGTCCTACGTTTATCTATTAATTAGCATTATTAAAAGCACTCTATGGAAATGTTCCCTTCTGCTAGAGATACAACTCATACAGCTACAACCTTTGAAGGACTAATCTGTATATTGTGACAACAAAATGTCCTTCATAAGAAAACTTCCATTGGTTGATGACCCGCAGTAAAAATGTTATAACGTTGGCGCTGTGAAGAAAGACCGTCCTTTTTCGGAACCCTGCTTGGGTGTGCCATAAATTGTATCAGTCACGTGATCAGAGTTCTACAGTCCATCCCGTGGGAGATCTGTTTCCCTTTGGGAACCAGAACTCAATTTATAGTTCCTTTCCTCGTACTTTATTCCTACTCTGTTTTTCATTGTGTGTGTGTGTGTGTGTGTGTGTGTGTGTGTGTGTGTGTGTGTGGTGTACATTAGAAGAACTAAGCCAATCTTTGCAATAGACCACCTTCAGTTTAAGCTTTTGAGTGGTCGTCAGGAATTGTCATTGGGATGACTATTCGTCAGAAGCTTCTGATACATCTCCGACTTGAGAAACCTTGTCATAGGGCTGAATAGACTTCAGAAGCTTCTGATACATCTCCGACTTGAGAAACCTGGGGTACGAGTCTCTCTCCATGTGCGTATACACGATTTTCTGAGCCTCTTCAAAGCACGTCCGAGTGGGTTCTTGAATATTCCTGACGATGGTTTCTCTTGTCGAACTGTCAATGTTAATCTGAAAAGTGAAATTGCAGCAATGGGCGGGATTAAAGGCGGAAAGACAATGCAAAGGTTTGATGTATTCCCCCCCTCTCCTTGTCAGTGGACTAGGGTTATTTTGTTTGCAGTTTTATTGGTATCTCAAAAGACGTAGGAGGTAAACTCGTGGCTTCTTGAAAAGTAAACATCCACCTCCACATCCCAGATCTAAATAACACGAGGCCCCAAGGCCTGGGAAATCGCTGAAACCATTGCTTACTTGGGAGGGCGCAAGAGGTTTGCTGGCAGAGTCTACAAACAAGGAAGTTTACTGGACGGAGGTCTTCCCTGAGGAAGAAAGGGAAGTTGGTGCTATTTTAAACTTGGCCTTCCTTAACAGGCATGCATGTTGATTTAACGGACTCTGCCCCGAAATGGGAAGAAGGTGAAGAGAAGTGGGGAAATAGAGAAGTGGTCATTTCAGTAAACCCAAGTATTTTCCAGATGACAGTTTTAAGGAACAAATTCTGTCCTGGGTGAGAGGAATGTCATCTACCATCCTCCCTGCTGGTCCCCCTGATCAGAATTTTCGTTCCCCAGTGTCTCCCCACCAGGAGGAGTCTCAGTGTTGTCTGTTTCCCTCATGGCTCTGTTGTCTTCAGGCAGAGGTGCATGATGGGAAGTGATATCCATGTGAGCATTTCCAGGCTTTGCTGGGGGGAGGGGAGGAAGCGGGGCTATGGAGGCACAGAATTTGCCCAGCACCCCCGGGGATGTCAATATGTCTATTGATGGTAACCATAGTTCCTTCTAGCAAAACCAGTTCTTTGTAAATCACTCTCCTAGGGAATTAAAATCATTTAATAAGGAGAGCCACATTTCCCCACTTTCCCTCTGCGGGCCACTTGGCAAGTTAGTGTCCTTCTCTGACTCTCAGGATTCTTTTTTTTTTTTTTTAATATATTTTTTTGATTTTTACACAGAGAGGAATTGAGAGGGATAGAGAGTTAGAAGCGTCGTTGAGAGAGAAACATCGACCAGCTGTCTCTTGCACCCCCCAATGGGGATGTGCCCGCAACCAAGGTACGTGCCCTTGACTGGAATCAAACCCAGGACTTTTCAATCCGCAGGCCGACACTCTATTCACTGAGCCAAACCGGTTTCGGCGACTCTCAGGATTCTTATGTGGAAAATGAAGTGAACAACCCCGACTTGACAGCATCCTTGGGGGTAAAGAGCCCGGCACCTCTGTGTGCCCGGTCAGCAGACACGGACACCCTGATGCCCATTCAGGGTCACCGTTGGCTAGGTACCTCTCTGGGGGACTGTGGCTGGATGTAGATCTTGTAAAGCTTCTTCGCCCGAAAATGTCTGCCCCATCGAAAGGCGATCTTCTTGTAGGTCTCACAGGCCATCCAGAATTGGATGTTCTCATCGCTGTGCTCCAGTTTCAGGAACGCCGCGTAGACCACTGGCCCATCTGAAAGTAACGGAGACATCACTCATTTTCCTGCGTCAAAACCATTAACACCTCTGAAATGTAAAAATAAAGTCTGGTCCAGCTGGTGTGGCTCTGTGGTTGAGTGTTGACTTAGGAACCATGAGGTCACAGTTCGATTCCCAGTCAGGGCACATGCCTGGGTTGTGGGCTCGATCCCCAGTAGGGGGCGTGCAGGAGGCAGCCGATCGGTGATTCTGTCTCATCACTGATGCTTCTGTCACTCTCTCCCTCTCCCTTCCTCTCAGATTTAGCAGTTGGTGCTCCTGGTGAAGAAATAGCTGAATGCATAGGCAAACCATTTCTGGTGTAACGTGAAGCTGGAAGCCCACAACCTCCCCTGTGTATGGGAAGAAACAAGAGTTCTGTGTTAACAAACAAAAACGCAACTTGATCTATTTTTGTACTCAGAGGAATTTTGACTGCTTCATCAGGAGGGGGAAATAAGGACCCTAAAGTAAAGAAATGAGCTATGAAAGAGGGGAGAGAAAAATGAAATACCAGATACAATCTGCAGATCCTGGAATGAGAGTTCACCAGCTACTTGGGTGGTTTGAGTTGGATGAGTGGATGGGGGTAGGGAGAGGGGATTTGGAAAACCAGTGATTTTGTATCCCAAATTTGTGTTTATATCCGTGTTTAGTTTAATTGTATGGTAGAATGTTTAGAGATGTTCATTCCGGAACCTGACTGGGAATTACTGGGATGCTAATGCTGTGTGTTACCGTATGACAGCCTGACGAAAGCTGACGCGGACAAGAACCCGTCTGATATTTCAGGTCTGATGACAGCATGTTCCACAGAATCCCGTCCTCATAGTGTGTACATGTTACCCCCGTTAGCGGCTCAAAACACAAGTATATTAAAAGTGTTCCAGGAATCTGAGGAACTCTTCAAGTTGGCATGAATGGCTCAGTCTAGCGTTTCTATTGACACACACACAAGAGTTACAAGCCTTTTCCAAGTCCAGCCCTGGAGCCCTATCCTTCCTTCCTTCCTTCCTTCCTTCCTTCCTTCCTTCCTTCCTTCCTTCCTTCCTTCCTTCCTTCCTTCCTTCCTTCCTTCCTTCCTTCCTTCTTTCTTTTCTTCTCTCTTAATATATTTTATTGATTTTCCACAAAGAGGAAGGGAGAGGGATAGAGAGCTAGAAACGTCGATGAGAGAGAAACATCGACCAGCTGCCTCTTGCACAACCCCTACCGAGGATGTGCTCGCAACCAATGTACATGCCCTTGACTGGAATCGAACCTGGGACCTTTCAGTCCGCAGACCGACGCTCTATCCACTGAGCCAAACCGGTTTCGGCATGCCTAACTATTAATTTATTTACACAGATACACACACTAGTCAAACTATTGGTATTAAATTGTGAAAGCAATTTTGTTTCATTCTTGAATATTTAATATCATGCAGTACTTTCCCCCCTTTTTGTCTTAATAGTCCACTGCAACAACAGCAACAACAACAAAAAGACAAAAAATAATAATCCACTGCAGGACTAAGTTCTGATACACTGATTTACTCTCTGTTATTGACTATGTAGATTGCTTCCCCATTTTAAGTTAGATTGTCCTACATTGAGCATGTTGGTTCGTAAATCTTTGCATCTCCAATTATTTCCTTAAGATGACTTTAAAGGAGCTTAGGCATCCCAGTTTCTGGGAAAATTTCTCTGAACCTGCCATGTCCCTGTCAGAGCACCTAGTACACACTTACTTTGATTACGTCTCACCGTATACTGCAGCCTACTGTATTTATTGACTTACATCCATCACTCTCCCGTCACCTCACCTCACCTGCACACCCTCACCCGCACCCCCTAATCCGCACCCCCTTACCCACACACCCTCACCGCACACCCTCACCCCCTCACCCTCACACCCTCACCCATACACCCTCAACTGCACATTTTCGCCCGCACACCCTCACTTGCACACCCTCACCCACACACTCTCACCTGCACGTCCTCACCTGGACCCCCTCACCTGCACACCCTCACCCACATACTCTCACCTGCACATTCTCACCCACACACCCTCACCCACATACTCTCACCTACACACCCTCACCTGCACACCCTCACCTGCACCCCCTCACCCGCACCCCTTTTGGGAACTGGGGCTGCACTTTCTTTATGGGCTGGTGCCCAGAGCCCACACACTGCCCAACACACAGCAGTTACCCAACCAGCGGATAAATGCCCGCCGTTCTGGCCCCCGTGGCCCTCCTGCTTCTGTCTTTTACAATGACTCCCGTAGGTTTTGAAAAGCGAAGCAGAGCCTGATTATCCAGCATGCAGGAAAAGCACAAAAGACCGGAGGGTTATTATACTTGGCACATGGTTACTTGTTGGTTTTCTGAGAGCGAGATAAAAAAAAAAAAAAAAAAAAAGTACCCACGGAAGAGAGGTGTCTCTGAATGGCCAGTCTCTGTTGTTTTATTTTGTTCCCTGCGAAGGGATAGAAGACACGAGAAATGAGCGAAGACGAAGGTGCTAAGTGGGCAAAGCTGAGTGCGGCTGAGGGTAATAGAAGGGTCGGGGGAGGAAACCATGGCAACAGCAGGGATGAGAGGGGAGCTGCCAATCAACACTGTGCAGCATGATCTCTCCACAGAGGAAGGGAGCTGGGAGGGGGCTCCGCCTCCACATCGGGATGCACACGAGGGGACCACAGGCTCTCTCAGCGATGCTGAGTGTCCGCCACAAGGAGGAAGGTGCCCAGGCCAGCGATGCAGTCCCCTGGCGTGGACAGCACTCAGCAGTGTGATGACCTAGGATGGCCACGGCTGTCGGCAGGGGCTGTGGTAACTGAGAAAGGGGGAGAGGGTACAGGCTGCCCCAGGATGATTTGGACCAAAATGAAACCATCGATGCCTTCTAAGGCAATTCCCGTCGCCTAGAAGGCCCCAGGCTCCAGCAGGCAGGTGAACTCCTCTAGGTCATGCCAAGGCATTCTCCTCACTGACAGCTCGGGGCTTTCGGATCTGGGTTCTTCGCTGCATGGCCTCTGCCCCAGGCCCCAGCGTGGCCCTCTGCTTCTCATCATTCAGCGCTTGGCTCACATTTTGTCCCTCCCGACAGTTCTCCGCTCCTCCAGTTGGATTGCCTTCTCACACCCGGCTTTCTTTGTCCTGCAGCCTGGCTTTCCTTTGTCCAAGGCCCTGGCCACTTTCTGGAATTAACTTATTACTGAACTCATTTGCTTGGTTGTCTGTCTCCTTACTTCTAGGGGGAGCACAGGAGCTGAGCTCAGTGACCTTGGCTTTGTTCACCCCAGTGTCCAGGGACCTGGTAGATCTACCGGACACAGGGCAGGGCTGGATGAGTCACCCAAGGAAGAGAGGTGTCTTATAATAGCTTTACTAAACTTCTTTTGTTTCTATTAAACACACTTCGCTCAAATATCAGCGGGCGACCTTTGTTCTCATCTTGTGAGATTTTGGCCAACCAGTGTATGGAGAAGCCTTCTTTCTGTCTTTCTTCCCGACATTATAGATTTGGATTTGGATCATTTTTCAGTCTTGACATTTCCGGTACGAAGAACCCTTGGGTGTTCTGGGATGGTTGGCCTCCTTGTCATTTCAAAGGCGTATTTTTGTATCTTTCCCAGTCCTCCTGGGCTTAGCCATCAGAAACTCCCATAGGATTTCCCCCATTTTTCTTCTCAGCGGACACCTCACACTAGGATGGTATTTTTGGGCCTCGTTTGGTGTTTTGGTTCACCATCATTCCAGGAAAAGTCTTTAGAAATCCTCATAGATTTTTTTTTTTAGTGAAGAGATGACTAACAGCTCAGACTATTTTGTTCTTTTCAGATTCATTTAAAAACTTACCACGACATCTATGTTCATTTGAAGATAGTTTTTCCCTAAAAACTTTGATATTTGGAAGCTTGGAGTATCTCTTATTATCTACAGACTTGCAAATTTTGCAGGGTACTTTATGTTTAATCACTGTGGAGATTTTACTTTATGAGACCAGTTTTCACACCGGATCCCTAGGATTCCTCCACAGAATGGACAGTTGAGGTTGCTAAGAGGTTGCTAAGTGCACTGACTGCCCACATGGGTGCATGCACTTCTTCGTATTTCTTGCCTTGAGCCCATGAGTTTATCGCCCTCATATCCGCTGCTGTTATCTTGCATTTATACCACCTGAATGCTGAGGCTTACATAGAGCCATATAAGGCTCACTTCCCCGAGACGCCGATCCAGTTAAGAAATGAGCTCTGAGGCGTTTTAGATCATCACGACTCAAGTGTATTTCTACTTTCGAAGGCATGAAGCAAAGCAAGTTGTTAATTAAAAAAAAAAATCATTCTAACTTTAGCTGGTGATGGTTTGGCAGTGTTACTATTTAAGCATCTCTTCCAAGGGATTTTACACATAGACTTGTGAGGAATAAATATTCACAGTGACTAATCTGGCTTTAATTATCGCCCAAGGAAATCATGGCGGTTGACACGACAGACTATTTTCGGGGCTTCCTTTTTTAACCGCGGCTGTTGCCATGTAGAAGGTGGCGAGAAGAGGGTCCGCTCTCATCATCCAGGATTCCCCCTTTTTCCCCTAAGAGTGGAATCGGCTAATTATTCAAAGATGACATATCCATGATACTCACATTTTGTCGCCATCAACTTCTCAAAGGACTCGGCCCACTGGGACATTTCCTCGGAAGTAAGGCTTTGAAAAGAAACAAGAGGTGCTCATTGCACTAAAATATTCGCAAGGGTTGATACCATCTTGAAAGTAACACCAACATATAATCACACGGCATCTGTGTGAGGTTTTGGATGGGAGTTTTACCTTCCTGTGATCTTTTCCATCTTATTTTTACTTCTTAAACGCTTAAAATTGTAAAAAATTATAAAGGTATTATAAAGGTGAAAATGGGATCAAACACATTTTTTAAATGATGAAGAGTTATCTATAATAATAAAAGCATAATATGCTAATTAGACTGGATGACCTTCCGGATGAAGCCTGGGCTGCGAGGGAAGCCTGGGTCCCGGAGGCCAGAGGGAAGCTGGTGCTGACAGCCGGGGGAAGGAAGCCCCCTTTTGCATGAATTTCGTGCATCAGGCCTCTAGTAGTCCTATAAGATCTCTGTTCCCAAACGACCACTGTCAATATTTTGATTTATTTCTTTTTAGTCTTTTTGTTCAGTGTGTGTTTTTAAACCAAGAAGTAATCATACTCTGCTTGTGTGTTGTCTGTGTATACCTTATGCGTATGTGTGTGTAGGTGTTTCCACATAATATATATATATATATATATATATATATATATATATAGATATGGTATTCCAAAAATGTATACACACTTTGAATAATTATTAATTCCAATGGGTCAAATCTGAAAAGAAAGAAATGTCAATGAGCTAATAGAAAAAGTGTGTACACATTTTGGGGGGCACCTTGTATATATACATAGATATAGATATAAATATAGATATAGATATAGATATAGATATAGATATAGATATAGATATATAGATATATAGATATATATTAGAGGCCTGATTCATGAAATTTGTGCAAGAGTAGGCCTTCCTTCTCTTGGCTGCCGGCACTGGCTTCCCTCTGGTACCCGGAACCCGGGCTCTGTCTGGAAGGATGTCTGAAATGATGTCCAGTCTAATTAGCATATTTCCCTTAAAAAAGTATATATATATATATATTGACCTTAATTTACAATCTTTTATATTCCCTATCATTTATCATGATTAAGGAGTATTCTATAAGGGGCATTTCATAGTTTACATAATTCCCAGTGAACAGTTTGATTATTTCCCATTTTCACCCCTAAAACCCAACGTGGCCCAACTGTGCATAAGGCTTGCCACGTCCTCACAGTTAGAGTGACTCCTTAGGATGTTAGCAGAAGTGGGATCCTGTAGGCCAACAGAGGCACCTTTTTTAGGGTCTCGGTACAAATGGCCCAACTGCTTGTAAAGGGTTAGGCGTTGTATGCACCAACGTGTTTGCCTGCTTACCTAATAGAATCTTGGCTTACCCACGTACCCTACTGGATTGCATTCACATAACAAAGTTATCTCATGTACAGACATATCGTCTATTATTTGCGATTAGTTTGCCGAGGTGTTTAATTTTATTGCTGCAAATAACATGTCAACTTACATTTCACTTAAACAGTATTTAAAAGAAAAACATTTATCATTTAGGAAGTGTCTGTGAATGATGCTGACTCGAAGGCTTTATTTCTGTTCGTTTTGGTGGGCTTTTGAGGTGAGTTGGCAATGCTTCCCTATCAGTCATCTTGCTTTCTCTCTGTTAAAATACTCAGCGTGCTCATCACCATTCAGCTTCTGACCGTTCTTCAGGTCCCCGTTTTTAGTAGCTGCCTATCCTAAAAGACAGCTGTGGGCATGAGCTTCCACTGTCCCCGGACTAATTCTGGCCCAGTTAACCCCACAATTAGTATCAATGGAACAGCTAGTGGCTTTAGCAGGTACCTGACACCACGAAGGAAGATTAGCTAAAGAGGTTAGAAAATAACCCAGAACATGGAAAACGATTGGGAGTCCTTAAAAAAAAAGGTCAACTGTGTTTTGTTTTCTAAAATTTTGGGTGCCTCTGGCTGGTATTAGATGGACTGTTTGCATCAGCACAGAGGCTTAGCAGTGCACTGCTGTGAAGATTGCTTTAAAAGCCGCATTTCCACGAAATGTATCTGACTCATTGTTCTTTTTCTCTTATTAGAACTTGAGAGAAGCAGTTGCCTAAAACAACCCTGTGAACCCAATGAAACTGGGCTGGGAGGGCTCCCTCCTGCCCATTCTGCCCGTTCCCAGCATTGGGGGGAGAATAAATCTCCACAGGGGCTCACCTGCCATTACTGCCATGGCTTAGCTTAAAGTTTGGTGTTGCCGATAGTTGGACAGAAGAAGTTTTTGGCCTCTCAGATTCCTGAGATTTATGGAGATAGACTATAATTGCAGAAAGGACGGTTGTGGATAAAATTGTGAAATGACATCTCTTTTTGGTTTAAACTAGTGGTCGGCAAACTGTGGCTCGAGAGCCGAGGTTTGCCGCTCCGTTGACTAATGAGTTTGCCGACGACTGTCATATGCTACCCTTTACCTCTTTGCACACAATATGCAACAATTGCCTAATCCTCACAGCTTCCATCTACATGGTAACATTTAGTCTAGCAGTGTTCGGCAAACTCATTACTCAACAGAGCAGCAAACCATGATCCGACCACTGGTTTAATCTCATTTTTTGCTTGTAAGTTTTTCTTAGTATGTCACAAGTTTTACATGGTCCCATGGCCATCTGGGTCTCCACATCAGAACTGTCCTAAACACCTTTGCCCCTTCCACCCACCCTGATTTTTTAATCCTCACCCAAGGATATTTATTTCCCATTGATTTTTAGAAAGTGGAAAGGAGAGAGAGAGAGAGAGAATGAGAGAAAGAGAGAGAGAGAGAGAGAGAGAGGTGGGGGAGGAAGATATATATATATCTATATATATATATATATCTAGATATCTATCTATCTGTCTATCTATCTATCTATCTATCTATAATCTATCAATGTGAGAGAGACATATTGACTGGCTGCCTCCCATAGGGGCCCTGACCAGGGCAAGGGATGAGCCTACAACTGAGGTGTGTGACCTTGACTGGAATAGAACCTGTGGCCCTTCAGTCTAGGGGTCAGTGCTCTAACCACAGAGCCAAACCGACGAGGGCACCCACTCCGATTTTTTTTTAAAAAGTTCTCTTTTATGTCCCTCCTGCCCCTTTCTCCCAGACAGATAGGCTGACGATGCCTGTCACTGCAGCAGCCACACCTGGTTTGTAACTCGCTGAGCTTGGCCTCTTCCTGCCTCATCCACCCACACACCATAGCTTACAAACGTTTGGGGGCATTTTGCTGCTTCAGGGCGTGAGCATGCATGCCAGGAGCTGTGGCCAGAACGGAGGTCTCCATGTGGGCTAGGCTAGGCACTCATGGTTAGCCCAATAGGGACCCTCCACCCAGGCCTTCTCTGAGCTGAGCAGATCCAATCACATGGTTTGGTACCTTTCTCAGGCCTTACACTTCCTATGTTGATACAGTCACAGTTACACTCGCCCCCCTCACCCCACCAAACACCCGCCTCCCCCAATGTCAAGCAGATTTGGGAGCTTGGTAAGCATTTGGTTTCAACCCTAGCCTCACCTCTTCCACCTGAGGATGAAGATTTCCAGAACTTGCCGAAACCGGTTTGGCTCAGTGGATAGAGCATCGGCCTGTGGGCTGAAGAGTCCCGGGTTCGATTCCAGTCAAGGGCATGTACCTTGGTTTCGGGCACATCCCCAGTAGGGAGTGTGCAGGAGGCAGCTGGTCGATGTTTCTCTCTCATCGATGTTTCTAGCTCTCCATCCCTCTCTCCTCCTCTCTGTAAAAAAATCAATAAAATATATTAAAAAAAAAAAAGATTTTCAGAACTCTGCAGTTGAAGGATTTGAGCCAGGAACATTTTGGATCAAATAATTTCATCTTCAGATATTATGAAACTTAAAAAAAAAATAAATCTAAGAATTTATTCACAATAGATTCCCTAAAAACATCGAACTTGCCGAATTCTCAAGTATGAACCATGAATAATGAAAACGGAACCCTGTGTAATAGATGCTTGGTCCTCTGGGGGAATCACTCGTGCATGAACACAGGTTTTGCTTTCTGAACAAACTGTGTTGAGAGAGCAGTTGAAATCATGGGCCCTGGGGAAATGCTTTAGCATGGCCTTCCAATGCAATGGCTTACTTACTCTGAAGGGAGCCTCTTCGGTGCATCTCTGCACATCGTACACACCCAGCAGGTCCGCCTGCTCATTTTTCTGGAGAAAAACAGCATCCATGGAGTATAATTTAGTCATTTAAAATAATTACAGGCTAAGAGTGCATTTCTAAAGAGCACACAGAGTAATCACGTTTGAAGTTACTGGGCTACAGTCACTGGTCGGGGGAGGATGATGGGAGAACAGAAGGACTCCTAACCATTTTAGGGGAATGCAGGCATTTCAAGTTGTGACTTCAGGCCTCAGCTGGCCCGCCTGTCCCTCAAAGGGCTCGATCCCCAGTGTGGGGTGTGCAGGAGGCAGCCAATCAATGATGCTTCTAGCTCTCCTTTTCCCTTCTCTAAAATCAATTAATAATAATAATAATAATCTAACATAATAATAGAGTGACATGCAAATTAACCATCACGCCGCTACACAAACCATGCCCACCAGCCAATCAGGGTGAGTATGCAAATTAACCCCACCAAGATGGTGGTTAATTTGCGTATCAAGACAGCATAGAAAGAAGCCAAGCCTGCAGAAGGGAGAAAAGCAAGCAGGGCAGCAGAGAAAGGAGGAAAGCAGGTGGAGCCAGGGGAGAAGGGAGGAAAGCAGGTGGGACAGTGACCGCAGCAGGAAGCCCTATTGCAGGAATCTTCCTGCAACAGGCCACTGGTTATATATATAAAAGATTCCTCATGTCTGTGATCACCTCCAAGAGGCCGATTCCCCAACACCTTGCTGCTTATCTTCTAAGTAGGAGGGTTGCCAAGAGCTTCCTCTTCCAAAGCCTTTCCTGTCAGTAGAACCATCATCCCTGCCCTCTACTGGGCCTTTGTGATATCGGTCTTATGCCTCCTTGTCTCCGTACCAACCTGCTGCTGCTGCTGTGTGTGCACATCGGTGATCTCTGAACCTGGAATCCATGTCTGTTTACAAGTTACCATGGTCTCTTTTATGGCTCTAACAGAATTGTTTAGCAAAGGCAGGAGAGTCTTAGTATTCGACTCCCACTTGGGCCAGAAGCACAGCAAAGGTTAAGCCATTTCAACCTGGCCTGTTTGGCTCAGTGGATAGAGCCTCGGCCTGTGGACTGAGGGTTGTGTGTTCATTTCCAGCCAAGGGCACATACCTCGGTGACGGGCTCATCCCTAGCCCCGGTTGGGTGTGTGGGAGAGACAACCAATTGATGTGTCTCACTTACATCGATGTCCCCCCTCCCTTTCCTCCTCTCTCTCCCTCTCTCCCTCTTCCTCTCTCTAAAAATCAATGGAAAAATATCCTCAGGTGAGGATTAGCAACAACAAGAGAGTAATTTCCAAATGCACCAGAATCTAGGGGTCCCCACAGCTCCCGAGAGGTGACAGTATATTAAGATAACTCTGGGCCCTGGCGCCAAGCCAGACACATGCCTGAGTTCAGGTGCTTAGCTGTGCAACCCTGGGCAAAGCAATAAACACTTCCCCATTTTCCCTTTCCCTTTCCCTAAAGTGGAACTGTAAAGATTAGAAAAGCACATGCAGTAACTGTCTGTTCCCGCTAATCTGATGTTCAGTAAGCTTCTGGCACTCCCTGTCACTCAGGAAATAGTTTCTAAGCTTTTTTTTTTTTTTTCCTAATGAAAATAAAGGAAATTTATTACCTGTATACGGTACGGTAGTACGGTAGTTGTCAACACAAACCAGACAAACTGTGAATCCTACAGTATCAAGAATTTACTCATTTATTCTATGACAATCATGTCATCCTCTTCTGGAACATCATCATAACAATCCAATTCCTGAATTTCCTGGTGAATTTCTTGTGACTCCATTTCTTTTAGAATCAGTGGACCAAATCTCTCATGTTTAACAATAGCACTGTCTTTATTTTTATTTATTTATTTATTTATTTATTATTTTTTTTTTAGTTAGTAATTTATTTTAAAAGCTCAAAATACAGAAATTACATAGTAATACAAAACCATGCTTTTAAATTAAATATAACTTTTTAAAATTTTGGTGAGCATGCTTGAATTTAATTAACAAAAATTAACTCAATATGGCTCATAGCCTAAATGTAAAATGCAAAGTGATAAAATTCCTAGAATATAACAAGAGATTTGGTAGTGACATTTTATTTATTTATTTATTTATTTATTTATTATTATTATTTTTTAAAATATATTTTATTGATTTTTTTTTCCCACCTCCCTCCCTCCCACACATCCCCTCCCTCCCCAGAGTTTTATGTCCATTGGTTGTACTTATATGCATGTATACAAGTCCTTCGCTTGATCTATTATCTCCCCCAGATCTTCCTCCCCTCCCTGCTGTAATTTGACTGTCTGCTTATTGCTTTACTGTCTCTATATCTATCTTTTGGTTCATCAGTTTATAATGTTCTTTATTATCCACAAATGAGTGAGGTCATGTGGTGTTTTTTTTCATTGACTGGCTTATTTCACTCAGCATGATGTTCTCCAATTCTGGCACTCCCTGTCACTCAGGAAATAGTTTCTAAGCTTTTTGTGTGCACGTGTGTGTGTGTGTGCATGTGTGTGTATGAGTGTGTGTGTGAGTGCATGCACAGGAAACACACATTGTCAGACTGCATTTCTTCCTCTTTTTAAATTTCTGCTGAGACCCCGATGGAGCTTGCTCCTCCTTCCGTGTGTCAGCCTCCTCCCCGCCCTGCTCATTGGCCCTTTCCTCCATCACCTTGGTCCTACATTCCTGTAGGGCGGGAGTTCGAGCTTTAGAATGAGCTGGGGTGTGTGTCCAGGGATTTAGGCACATTGAGGTGTGCGTGAGTCCTCTTGAAGGGAGGAACTACCAGAAGGGTTGTGTGGTCAGAAGGACCTGGACCAAGGGGTGAGAGGGCAGCCAGGCCAGAGCATCCCTTTGCGAGCAATCACGTGAGGTGTCCCCTCTATAATGACGTCCTTTAGGGTTAGGATTTGATTAACATATTCCATCGATAAACTCACATTTGTTTGGTTTATGAAATCCACTTAAGACCATCTTCAGTTGAATTATACCCTTGGTGGTCATTTATTAGTAAAAGTATGAATTAGCCTCAAATACTCCATTGGAGTAAGGGTTCTATTTTTGGCACAAAGAGAGAGTTCCTTGTGAAAGGAAGGTTGAGCTGATAGGATATAGAACCGATTTAAAACGGATGAACTCACCGAGCTTTGAGTCAACAATAATCATTTTTCTCTCATGGTGGTGGTATGATTTGTGGGAAACTTGCATGGACCTAAAAATAAGATAGTGACAAAACCAAACAAAAGCAGAAAAGATTATTGTGTGCTTCCTGGAGAAGGCATTTTTGGCAGAGATTTCTATAAATACCCCCGCCTTACATTTTCAGTAAAAAGTCAATAGTTTATTCACTTTGTAAGTACTGGATGTTTATCCCTATTGGCGATTTGTTAACTCCTTATCTAGAAATTTATTTTATGGATAGTTATTATAAAAATTCCTATACTTTCAGTATCTATGTTCCATTCCTTTTCTTAAAATATTTTTAGTTTATTGAAGGTTAACATCATACATTAATTTGCCTATCTTTTTATTTTTTAACATTCTCTTGGTAAAACTAGTGTACATTTTTAGAATGTAAGTGTGTTTAGAGCCTGTTTAGGTCTCCATAATGATTTTTTTTCTTGGTGTTTCCTCCTGATTATTTTAAAGAAAGCATACATGTCATCTATAGAATTTAATTCTTAGAGTGGGATAAATACATAAACAATGAAATGAGTTGGATATGTATCATGCCAGGAACAGATTCAAGTTCCCCCCTGGTATTTAAATGGAATCTTTCTCAAAGCAATATGAAAATATAAATGAATTTTCTTACATTGAGCCTTTTCACACATTGAATTTTTCCCCGTACAAATAGGCAATCGATTAATCCTTTCTGCAGTATCTGCATTTAACTGTGTTTCTTTATATTATGATGTAGCATGCCACATAAAATTTAGAAAAACCTAGAGCAATTTACATTTTTTAATGCTTAAAGAGTTTTTTAATTAAAAACATTTTTAAAATTGATTTGAGATAGAAAAGAACACATCAATTTGTTGTTCCACTTATATATGCATTCATTGGTTGATTCTTCCCCCCCATTTTTTTAAATTAAGGTATTATACATGTACATATCTTATCATTGCTCCCCCCCACCCATTCCCATACTTGCCCTCACCCCCCAGTGTTTTGTGTCCATTGGTTTTGCTTATGTGCATGCATACAAGTCCATCGGTTGATCTCTTATCTCCCCCAGCAATTCATATTTGTGTGGGGTTTTGTTTGCCACAGCACACAAAATTCTTGCCTTTAAAAAGCAAGTAATTTGGGTGTAGTTGTGCTTAGGCACAACACTAAGGAATGAAGAAATTCTGTAAAATCAAGATCAACAATGCTTCCTATAAACCTTTCTACCTGCGATCAATACCACTGATTAAATGATGGAACTAATTTGATAAAGGTATGATTTCCAAAACAAGTCTGAAATATCTGACTGTATGACTTTATCGAATCCTACACACACACACACACACACACACACACACACAACCCCCATAAAATGAAAGACCACACCTACCCTCCTCTAGAACTGGAACATTCTTTTACTGCCCGATTTAAAAGCTTCATTTGCACATGTGTGACCATAAGTTTTATTTTAAAATTATTATTTGTTTTGTTTTAGCTATAGAAAGCCTAGGCCAGGACAACATACGTGTTCACTAGTCTGTTTTCCTTGGATGAAACCTGCTAACATTTCTCGCAGCCCTGCCGTGGAAGTAAAAAAATCCACTAGCCATCGCTACCAAGCTAATAGCATTGTATCCGTCAACCACGTGAGAGAACCTCATACTTACAAGGATGCCCTGCAGAGCGGTCCGCCATGCTAACGCCTATTTCCTCTTTGCAGGATCCTTTTGAGACTAGGCTCTGCAATGCCATGAGACAGCCGGCATTTTAGCTTTCCCGGCATGCAAGAGCTCTGCTGCTTCTGCTCCCTTTGGGGGCCCTCTCGGCTCTGAAGGACGTCCCGCTTATAAAGGCCT